GGTCATTTGACCCCAGTACTCTTTCCTGCCATGGCAGGGGGTCGGACTAGATGATCTGCTCAGGTCCCTTCCGACCCTAGAAACTATGAAACTTAAAATTTGGCAGGGATACAGACCCTAAGAGATGTTTTTCAGTGATTCAGTGAAAAATAGTTTTTGATTTGGCAGTTATAAAGGATTTTAACTGTATTTCCTTCAAATGTGTAATTTTTTATTAAATGGTAAAACCTATCTGCCAGTGTTCCCTTGGCACAGCACATGCACACCCTCATAAATGGAGTAGAAACTTCCATGACAGTGATAGTCTTTGTGCAACCATGTGCCTGGAAGCACAGCAGTACTTCAGTTTTAACAGAATCCCCCCTTGTAACCCAAGTGGCTAGCCAAAAGTTGGGATCTTGTAGGACATTCAATTTTATAGACAAAATTGGTGATTGAGATTGACATTTTGGTGTGATTTAGTTTGTTCACAAGACTATACGAAGTCCTACTTTCTTGGCACGGAAGAAACTAGGGGCTGTTTCCCTCCTTGAAGCTCCAGATGTCCTCTAGCCAGCACCCAAACCCAAAAAGGCCTACTGTCTAGGCTTCTTCCAAGGTCACACATCACTGCTATACAAGCTGTGGTTGAAGACACCTTCTCTAATTCAGTGTACTCTCCTTTGCCATCTGAACTCTCTCTCTCTCATCCACTTATGCCCATATTCCTTCCTAAACAATACCAGCTGAAGTCCCTCAAAAACATTCACATTTTTGAGCAGGCTTCCATTTCCCTTGCTTTGTGTGAAAATATATATTCTGCTATTTCTTATAGCTACCACAAAGAGCTGCATTTGGACCTATCAAGCATGACCCCACATGCAGGGGCATGCGCTTGTGTGACAGAGGGCCTTCCCAAGGCCGGTTCAATCATTGGCCCTCCCACCTGTCTAGGGCAGTCCACCCACCTGACTCACCTACCACACCTTTCTTGGAACTGACTAGATGTTCATAGGCAGGAGGCTGCCCATTATTGCCAGATGCCAAGGACATAATACACAGCTCCAAACCTCTCCTTATACTGTGTCCCATGCCTCACAGATGGCATCCAAACAGCTGACTCACACTTAGTCCTTTCCAGGGCCAAACTCTGCCCCTATGCTGGTCCTCTTTCACATCCGATAATTGGGTCCCACTCACAATGCCTCTTTTACTGGATCCCACTCATTCTCGCACTCAGCCTACGGCCCACTCAGGCCTCCGGTGTCTGTTGAGATACCTGGACCCCAAGCCTGTCCCCTCTACGGGGTTACCCACCAGGTCATGGGGGCCGAGGCTTTATAGCACCCCATCCTCACCTTTCACTAGGGAGGCACAGATGTGGCATTTCCCAGACACTGCCCAACCACAGGCAGCCCCACCACACCATCCAACCCCAGCAGTGTAATTTCAGGTCTTACGCAGGACCAGGAACACCCTCCAACCCCATAGTTCCTACCCTAATCTCCAGGTGTTCCAGGAGCTGCAATCTGCAGGCTGAGTGATGTGGCTCTTCTGGCTCCCTAGGTATACCTGCCAGCTCTGCTCCTAGGGTCTGGCCTCACACTGAGGCTGCCCAGCCCTCCTCCACTCTGGTGGCCCCCTTTTGGTCAAGTGAGCATCTAATTGGGCCAAACTGCACCTGCCAGCTAATCAGAGCCTTCTAGAAACCTCTTAAAGTAGCAGGCACAACTTCTGCTCTCCCACAGCTTGCAGCAGCAAAAATAGTAGTGGCAAAAATTTGTGCTGCTACTTTTTGCCACAGTGCACGCCCCTGAATGTGTGCTTTGGTGTGGGGCAAATTGTTGCGCTTCGAGAAAACTGCCCTTTCCTGCTCCTCCTGGCTGTTGGCATGCTCTTGGCATGCTGGAGGAGCTAGAGAACAACTAAAGAACTGGAGATGCTTTGTGTCTCCTGGGAGGACCAAGCCTCCGTATCTGCTAGCATACACTCCCTTCATGTGCCCCGCACTTTTTTCATGCTGTTTTTTTTGCTACCGTGATTTCCCAGTAGCAAAATTTGCAGCACAGGGCACGTTTTAACAGTCAGGGCATGCAGTTTGTAGTGCCACAAAGAGGTTTGTGATGCCACAAACTGTACATGCCTACACATCTGGATGTAGCTATCAAATTTATCTCATCCTAAAATAAGATTTATGAGATTATGGGATATGGTGTGCCCAGGGAAGCAGGGCCCTAAATGACAGATTAGGATGCATTAAGAAGGCAGTTAAAGCTGCTACATTTTCTATTGCATATTATGGGCAGTGCGCTGTGTTCTACTAACATATAATCAATAATTTCACCTGGGGGAATTTTAGCTTCTTCCTTTAAAAAAAAAAAGCTATAAATTCCATTAAAAATGGTGATACAGTAAAGCTATCTTAAAGGAAGCAACTAAATGTTAAGTAACACCAAAATTAGGATCGTGCATTATTAGTACTGGATTCTATACAGGTCACTTCAGATGATGCATTGAAAGTGAAAACAGGTAGGATTCTAAAGCCACCTGTGCTTCTCGTCAACCCTGCTGGTTCTAGGAGATGGGACAGTCCTTGGAGCCACCATTATGGCAACTTCCCCATGGCTGTCAGTGAGCTGCTTCTCTTCTTAAAACACCTGTAGTACTAAATTTTGTGGTCACCCCACAAACCCAACACTATCTACTCCATGTGGTGCTGCAAGAATGGGGAGGGAAGAGATGTCAGAACAACATACAGGTATCACAAGAGAGGCTATCATTTGGCCTTCATCCTTTAATCCTAGGATCATTCACAAATTTTCTCTCTGAAGAAAGTAGGATTTATTCCATGTGCAGAATGGACAGTGCTCACTAAATGAAGCAGATACTTAAAAGTTAATTTTTCCTCACTGCTTACTTCTATGCCATACCACATGAAAACTCTATTGTGAAGGAGGACTTTTTTTCTTTTGCTAGGGCTCCCTCATGATGCTGATCTACAGCCACATTGATATAACTGAACACAGTGGTGAATTTACCTTCAAAATAAACCAGTGAAGGAGTTCTATCACCCCCAACCATATAGCAAAATAATTCAAAATAAATGAAGATAGTAAGTAAAAGCAAAAAAGATTAAATACATGATTACCTAAAGTGTCCCCAAAAAGTTTGTAGGAATAGAATCCAATTCTGTTACGGTCAAATTCCAGTGTCTCAACTGGAAGACTACCCTGCCTCTTCCTGGGTGCATCTACACATGCACTTTACTATGGAGTTGACTAATTAGCTCTGTAGTAAAGCATCACTGGTATCAGGGTGCAGTAAACTGATTAACTGTGCCATAAGATAGTACTGTCGGGAACATAAGATAGTACTCTCTTACGGCAGAGTACTTTACTGAGCTGAAATGCACATGTAGATGGTGACTGGGGGGTATAAATTGTGCACAGTCAGCCTAGATAAAAAGACTTGCTCTGCCCCAGCTCAGATCGCTGTTGTCCCAGGCACACGTGTAGATACTGTGCTTGGGAGCAATTTATTCCAGCATGAACTGCTGTGAAGTTTATTGTATTGTATTAATTGCATATGTAGATGCACCTCCTGGCTGCATCCCCATGAGCAGGGGCATGTGGTTTCTGCAAGTAAAAAAGCAGCAGCACACATTCATGCCACTTTTTGCCCTGGCACATGCCTCTGTATGCGGGATTAGCACAGGGAAAAATGCTCCAGGTGGTGTAGGGGAGGTGGGGCCAGCATCTGGGGTCTTGGGGGCCAGCAATGGCAGTCCAGGTGGGGGGAGCCTGGCCAACAGCCAGTATGGCTCTGGCTGGCCAGGCTCCAGTTTCGGGAGGTGCATGCTGCCACCACATGTTCCACCCCACTTTTTTTCTGTGTGCTGTTTTTTGATACCAGGATTTCCCAGTATCTAAATTTGGCTCGACACTGCACATATGCAGTGTGAAGAACCAAATCACATGTGCTGGGTATGTTTTGCAGCACCTCAACAGCCTTTGAGGTGCTGCAAAATGCCCATGTACGCTCATGTGGACATAGCCCCTGAATACTAATGCTGTTTCATTCCCTGTAAATATCAGCTTCAGGGCACTCTCCCTCATCAGTCTAAAAACCTATAGGGGTTGTCACGCATACCCCCCGGTGTATTTGGAAAGACCCTAGGGGGTATGCACAGGCGAGCATGGACGGAGCACCGCCACCCACTGCCTTGCGCCACCGTGTCTCAGGAGCAGGGCTAGGGAGGGGTGAGGGCAGCAGCACCCCTCTGTACAGGCCAGATGCTGTGTGGGGAGGGGGAAAGAGGAAGGTAAGTTTACACACAGCGGTGGCTGCCCCCCCCTCCAGCTCCACAATTTCTCCTGAATACCCCCCACAGATGAACTGTGTACCCCCAGGGGTACATGTAGCAGTCTGGGAACGCCTGACACAGAGCAAGTGCAGTAGCTCTTGACTTACTGTCTTTTTGCTCTCCACACTGTGGCTCATTGCTCGAATCCTCTCCAAGATGGCCTCCTCAGAGGATTTAACTGTTACAGAACTGCTGTGGAGAAGAACAGCTATTTGCTCTTTAAAAGCACTCAGCCTGCTTTGGGCAGTTCTTGCCTCTTGCATACTGTTCTTCAAACTCCCATCCAGTTCATTAGAACATCTCTTCAAGTGGTGAAGTTCCTGCTTTGAGGCTTCCCATGCCTCCTGGCTGGCAGCAAGCTTATCTTGGAGGATGCCGATCTCCATCTCTAAACTCTCTTTGGCTGTTTTAGCACTGTCCAGATCCTAAAACAGGGGAAACACATCACCAGGCTTTTAATTTCAGTAGAAAAGTAAGAACAGAGAAGCATCAATGATCTCCGGGAAGACTGGGACAACATGCAAGAAAGCTCGATCCTTAAGGACCTGCTCCACAACTTGTCCAGGGACTGAGATGAGACCAACCAGTCTGTAGTTCCCTGGATCCTCTTTCTTCCCTTCCTTAAAGATGGGCATTGTATTTACCCTTTTGAAGTCATCTGGGACCTCTCCTGATTGCCATGAGTTTTCAAAGATAATGGCCAGCAGCTCTGCAATCACATTGGCCAACTCCCTCAGCACCCTCGGATGCATTGCATCAGGCCCCATGGACTTCTACACATCCAGCTTTCCTAAATAATCCTGTAGAAGGAACCCAGTTTGATCCTGCACTTACTGGGATGACAGCTGGTGTGATCAGGAGCCAGCTGGATCCCAGGCCACCCCAGTGGCAAACAGCAGGCTTTCAGGTGGACAGCATGCTCCCCTGCATGCTTACTCCCCAGACAGCGCATGGAAACAGGTGGCACACCCCCATGCACCCATCCCCCAGGTTGGGCTAGGAAGCAGGGCCCCACACATGCCAAGAGCCCAGACAGAGCCAAAGCCAGGCAGCTGGGGTGCTCAGTTCCACCTAGAGCCCAGGAGCAGCAGCTGCAGACAATGAGCTTGACAGGGGGTCTTAGGATCTGGCAGTGGCAGCAGAGCACATGGGGGCCCGCAGGGGTCCAGATTGGCCCAGAGCAGCCTAGAACTTCCCACCCCAACTGGGGGGGAGGGGGGGAGGGGACTGCCAGCATAGGTGCCTGTACTGCATCCCTCCACTGGAGCCTAGAATGCCCCATCAGAGGCTAGCCCAACCTTTACTCCTAAGACTGGAACTGGACAACCTTACGAACACTGGATGCCAGGTACCTCCCAAGGCCTCATGGGAGTTCATAGTATATGTTGCCCCAAACCACCCACAGGGCTCATGACCTGGGTGCAAGCCCTAAACAGCCTTAGATGCCTTAGGTGAATGTGGATACATACCTTCATACCGCATGAAGGCAGGACCACAAATGAATGATGGACATGACTGCTTATGTTGTATTTCTTTATTAATACCTATACAGTATGGACATCAGTTGTGGTAAACCCCTGCTGTAATAGCAGAGCCCACCCAGCTCACATCTGTCCCAGATTGTTCTGTTTCCTTTTTTGGATCTTTCTTTTTACACGTGAAGGCAGGCACTTAGGGGACCCAGCGCCTACCCTGATAACATCACAAGAACATCTGAGTGGAAAGGGGTGGGATTTAGGGGAGGTAGAGCTCCACAGAAGATGCCCAGACACTGAGATCCATGTCCATCTCAAAGTTCCCTATTACAGTCAGGTACTATCTGCTGGTATCCTTCTTATTAACAAGTCATGGCAGGCAGGATATAGAGAAGAGGACTAAACACCCATTGAGAATGTGGCACCCAGGCCCCACCCTGGTGTGACCATTCAGCCCAGGTCCCATTACAAGTTCCTAACCTTTTCTTTCACCACTGTTGGCTGCTCACCTCCTCCCCAAACTGTGCTACAAGGTGCAGTAGTCCAGGAGTTGACCTTGCCTTTGAAGACTGAGGTGAAAAAGGCAGAGTACTTCAGTCTTTTCTGCATCACCTGTCATTAGGTTGCATACCCCATTCAGTAAAGGACCCACTCTTTCCCTGATCTTTTTCTTATTGCTGACATACTTGTAGAAACCCTTCTTGTTACCCTTCACATCCATTGCTAGTTGCAACTCCAATTGTGCTTTGACCTTCCTGATTTCATTTCACCATGCCCAAAAGATAATCTTACACTCCTCTTTATCAAGCTTACAGACAACAAAACTGGAACAGTTTGCAAATGCTTTAGAAAACAGTATTAAAATTCAAAGGGATTTTGATAACTGGAGTCTGGGCCATAGACAATAAAATGGAATCCATAAACAGACAACTGTAAGTGGTTATATATAGCAAGAAAAAGACAGATGTTCATATATGGAATGTGGGGGACAACTGGCTTGGCAACAGTACTGCTGAGAAACAGCTGGGAGTTATAGTGGATCACAAGCTCAATATGTCACCAAAAAGAAAGGAAAATGCGCAGTATTAAAATAGCAAGGTATGCACAAGAGACACTTTAGTTGGTTTATTTAGGCTTCAGCTGAATAATGTGGCCAGTTTTGAGTACAACATTTTAAGAAGGATGTAGAGCAATGATTATCAACCAAGGTGCCATGGCACCATCAGGTGCCTTAAGATCCTTTCAAAGGTGCTGTGGGGTGCTACAAAATGTTAGCAATATTAAGTGTTCAAACATAATCGACAAGAAAAAAAACAGTTTTTGCATAGGAATTTATAGTGCTAAAAACATTCTGACCTGCTGTGATGAGAATTGTTTGCAATACAAGAATTGCTGTATTATTCTTCTGTAGTCCAAAAAAAAGAAAAGAAAACTAAGAGCTGGCATTTTTCATGGGATGCCTTAACTCTACCATGCAGTACCTAAAATCTAAAAATGTTGAGAACCCCTGATGTAAAGACACTGGAAAGGATCCAGAGGGGAGCAATGAAGATGATAAAGGGGTTGGAATGCATGCTTTACGAGAAAAGATTTAAGGAAGAAGGTGTGTTTAGTCTGGAGAAACTAAATTAAAGCAAAATGCTATAGAAGTTTGCAAATATCTGAAAGATTGCCATAGAGAAGATGAAGGAAAACTCCTTTCCCTTGCCACAGAAGGCAGGGTGCTAGGCAATCAGTTAAACTATAGGTAAGCAGATTAAATCAAATATCAGGGGACACTTCCTAACTGGAAAAAAAGGAGAATGGAAGAAGCTGCTTAGGAATTTCCTTCACTAGTTTTAAAACATTCTTCACTCAATTTTTCAAGAAAAGGCTGATGGCATCAGGGTAGGATATTTGCAAACAACAAATCCTATTTGTGATATCCATCAGGGAATACAGGACCCCAAAGGGCCTTTAAAACCCCATTATTCTATCAAATCACACTCTATTTCCTGTTTCCAAGATGAAAAATAGGGCTTCCCAAACCAGAATGTATTGGACCTCAAATTTCTTTCACATGCCAAGAGGGTCAGCAGGGGGAGGGGAGGAAGAAGGGGTGAATACTTCAAGCTTTCTGCATAATTTGTCCTTTCCTTTGTTATGATCCAGTCCCCAATCTCTGAAAGACAAATAAGCAGTAGATGTGAAAAAGGTATGTAAAATGCTGAACAGTGCAGAGAAAGCAACTGAACAGAGCTCTGCATCACGACCCATAATATGAAGGATGAAGAGAAGGAGAAGGGAAAAGAAAACCAAAAAAAAAAGGATCCATGCTTCATTTAATTAGACCATGAATCACCGCCCCAGGATACTTGTGAAACAAATAATTTAATACGACAAAAAATAATTATGTAATAGAACAAAATTTGCAGTCAAACCAGAGAGTACTAAAATGATACAGGAGTTTAAATCTCCATACTGAAGACTTTGTTTGTTTGACAACTAGTAGGAAGTAAAACTCCCCTGCTAGGTACAGCAGAGCAATTTCCTTTCTACAGAAGAGGCGGTTTCCATACACTGTGGGAGGCATGATACTTAACAGGCTAACATAATAACAACTGTATTACAAACAAACTTTTTTTTTAATTAAAAACATAAGTAAAACCCTCTTGATCAGTCAAATATTTATCACTCAGTACTAAAATGAACTGTAGAGCTGCTTGCCAACTGAATTTTGGCACAGTTTCATATCCATGTTTCCATTTAAACAGGGCCTTCTAACGGACAAACTGCACCAGTGCTGAGAATTAAATTCTAGATATTACAGCAAAGAATGGAAGCAGTTTATTTCAGTTACAGCACATTATTTCACCAGCATGAAGATTTCCTTTCAGAGATACTATCCAGAAGTAGTTTGCTAGTGTCAATGTGAACATAACAAAATACATTTTTTATCTCAATTTAAAATTTGCACACATAATTACAGCCAGCCAAATACTGAGAGAAGTACATAAAAGAACATATTTCATACTGTTTGTCTCATAGTCTATAGCAAGCCATACTTGTTATTAGGAAAAAAACTTCAGCTTTTAACAAGTAGTATCTGCAAGTCACCTGATGCTAAGTCTTAAAAAAAATAATTGCAAAATAAAGAAGTAGTAAAACTTTATTTTACTGAACAACTGAAAGATTGTGTTGCAGAAATTTGGATTAGCCTGTACGTAAAGATTGTGTACGAGCCACGGTGAGAAAAAATGGTTGTGCTGTAATACAAAATATTTAGACCAAAAAGTATTGACATATCATAGCATCATATATTAAGGCACTCTGTATACTATGGACATAACCTTTTCACGTTATCAATGCTGTTGTGTGTGGCAATAACAAAATTCATGCACTTGAAATCTCAGAGAGTTTTGTGCATTATTTCTTAATGATATGGAGGAGAAAGGAGAGCTACCACTTCACTGCAACATTAGATAGCTGTGAAAGAGAAGATGCTTGAAAAATGTTGGAAATTGAAATTACTGGTGCTTATGTTTTTAGATAGCAATGGGGAACTTGCTGATGGATGTAGGTTCCTGAAAGACAGAAGCTGGCTTTGTGGCCTAGCTTTCATTGTGGATATCAGCAGTCATCTTAATAAGCTATGATTGCAGGGCAGAGAAACACTTTTCCCAATGAAATTCAGTCTCATTGCTTCTTGTAAAATCAAGCTCACAAGTGTCTTGTCTCAGGAAAACACAGATCATTTTCTTCACTTTCAAGAAGAACAGCATGGTGGTGATGTCAGTAACTGTAGAAAATACACAGCCGCATCTTCTTTTCTCTGAAGTTCATTTGAAAACTATTTCACTGATTTTGAGGCAGATCAGAAGTATGTGAAACTTTTTAATAACCTATTTTCCATCTGGGAGGAGAGGTTGAAAATTATCCACCTGAGACACAGCTTAAAATACTGGAACTGA